CGAGTTAGCCCAATCACAGACTGTGATGCCACATTGTTTTGCTGAAGCCACAGACCTTCATGCAAAGATGAACTAACAGCATAACTTTTGGAGATATCTGCTTGATTTGGCCCGGCTTGCTGAAATCTTAACACGTGTTTTCAGCAATGTGTCAATTTGCCGGTAAGTTTACCGCACTACTGTTACCCTCTTTATTACTCTTGGACTCAATGTTTAGACTTAACCGTTTTTTCATATCCATTTTTTTCCAGTTATCTCCCACTTGTAATGGGGATAAAAAAAATGTATCGATCAATCTGGCAATATATCGTGATCCTAACTCATGTGATGCAGTTATTGGGTTGATTTACTCAGGAGCGATTGCATGAAGCTTATGTGGACAGAGAAAAGTGCTGCACGTCCATCCTGTCTCTATGTCGGCAGTCTGTTGACAACTGGTCGCTGTATGGCTGACACTGCTCTGTTAATTTTTACTGCATGTTTTATATTTTTGATTGTTTATTTCCCGATCAGACACAGAGCAAAGAGGATGTGGGTACAAGACACGATCCCTAGGCGGCAAAGCTACGGGGAATATCAAACATTTGCAAGAGCGCCGGTGACTCAACAGCTTTCAGCGCCTTTCTGAAAAGTTAAAAGATTTTTAACTTGAGCGCTCGGAGCAGCCGCACAAAAAAGTCTGGACGCTCTGAGAAAAGATGCTGGGTGCTGCACTTTTTCTCTGAATGCAAATGTTCTCTCCTTATTGTTAACTATTGGATAATGATGCTGGAGCTCAGAATAAACGCTAGGTGACACGGGCCTAAAGCTAATATACTGTACTGCTGTATTCAGTATGACCAGTTACACCCACATCAGGACTCAAACAGAAAGTAAAAGTTGGATATTCACCTCCTTGTACTTCTTCTCTAAGTCTCCTTGGATGTACTTCAGGGCAGCTCTGCACTGTCTTATCACTATATTTAAATTAGCTCCATCAAACATCAGCTGTAAAAACGGACAGATCTGATAATTTACAGCCTTTCAGAGTTTAGATAGAGCTTTCTTTTTATCCCAGACACATGACTATCAATTACCTTTGTCAGACATCTGCGATGTCCTTCTTTATGCCATCAGATATAACAGAATAAGAGAAGAAGAAGCAGGCAAAAAGAGCATGAAGCTAAAGGTCGACCTCTTTCTTGAGCCAAACACACAAAGAGGACTGAAATATAACAATTACAAAGACGTCTGCAGTGTTACCCAGCTCACCTTCCCTTCTCTTTGCCAGGACTGACACTTTGTTGTGAGACGCACCGCTGTGTTCAACCCCGCTGTGTGAACCATCCTGTTGTCCATCCTCTGTCCTTGTATATCTGAGCTACAGTATTTTTGAGTTAATCTTCAGCTTGGAGAGCTTCGTCCTTGGCACAGTGTCTCTATGTTTCTTTTCCATGTGTATTAGAAAGTATTTATTTATTTATTCAGCTCATGCTTATACCACAATGCCGTATTTTGAAGTGATACATAAGAGGATTATGAGATCTCTGAGAAATGCTTTAGTGAAATGGATTATATTTGATTGGCAAGGATTTTGTTGAATTGTTGACACACCAAATATTTCCTTCAAATAGAAATGAAAGTTCATCAGTGCAAGGTTTAGGACTGGATATTGAGGGAAAAATGTAGTTCCTGATGCATTTTTGACTCGTCATGATATAGAATGGTTATCGCCATAATTGTTATCATCATAATGGTTATGGTCATAATGGTTATCATCATAATGGTTATGGTCATAATGGTTATCATCATAATGGTTATGGTCATAATGGTTATGGTCTTAATTGTTAACAATGGTTATGGTCATAATTGTTATCATCATAATGGTTATGGTCATAATGGTTATCATCATAATGGTTATTGTCTTAATGGTTATGGTCATAATTGTTATCATCATAATGGTTATCGTCTTAATGGTTATCATCATAATGGTTATGGTCATAATGGTTATCGTCTTAATGGTTATGGTTATAATGGTTATCATCATCATGGTTATGGTTGTTATGGTCATAATGGTTATGGTCATAATGGTTATCATCATAATGGTTATGGTCATAATGGTTATCGTCTTAATGGTTATGGTTATAATGGTTATCATCATCATGGTTATGGTTGTTATGGTCATAATGGTTATCATCATAATGGTTATGGTTGTTATGGTCATAATGGTTATCGTCTTAATGGTTATGGTCATAATGGTTATGGTTGTTATGGTCATAATGGTTATGGTCATAATGGTTATGGTTATAATGGTTATCATCATCATGGTTATGGTTGTTATGGTCATAATGGTTATGGTCATAATGGTTATCATCATCATGGTTATGGTTGTTATGGTCATAATGGTTATGGTCATAATGGTTATCATCATCATGGTTATGGTTGTTATGGTCATAATGGTTATGGTCTTAATGGTTATGGTTGTTATGGTCTTAATGGTTATGGTCATAATGGTTATGGTCTTAATGGTTATGGTTGTTATGGTCATAATGGTAATGTATATGGTCATAATTACCAACTAGTCACTTCAGTAGAGTTGGTTATTTTGTCTATTGTAGATTCCTTTAAAATATTTGGTTAACATTTGGCGACTTCCTCTCCTCGTACATTTTAGAATTTTAGACTTTGTCAAGGTTACGTATGGACATCCAACATCATTAACATTATTTATATGGGTAGCAGTAAAAAAAAGCCCCAAAGTCTTGTTTTCTACATAGATCAGAATGTTTTTTTTCTAGATCTTTATTATCATCTTTTAGCAGTGACAAAAGTCATCTCCGTTCAGCCTTATGGTGTCATTTAAAATGTTTCTGATGTTCTTGTTTAATGATGCACAAAATCAATTGTGGTGATAAGTATTCTTGTCTCTCGCTGAAGATCTCCCTCTCTTCCTATTGCCTCCGTTTCAATCACTCACTCCCTCTCTTGACATTAAAGGCAGATACCATTACTGCCCTCCAGAAGCCTCATCTTCCTTCTGTTCATCATCTGTGAAATCTTAATGTAGCCTGCTGGTTTTTCCTGTCTGTTTGGGAGTGTTGTATGTCAGAACTGTCCATGTTTAATGCGTTAAGCTTTTAGAAAAAAAAACAACAACAACAACACAGAGCCAGCGGAAGAGTACACAGATCTATACTAAGAGAGTGCAGAGTGCAAAGAGCCTGGAGTTGCCGTCAATCAGAGCAGGATTTATCAGCACATCAAAGGAGGATGGAGATGGCTCGGCTTTCATCTTAACCACATGTTGTCATTCCACATTACGGCTGATAGAGCTAGCTTCGGTAGGTGGGCAAACAAGGTAAGCCAAGATGAAAGTGGGTGCAGATGAGGAGGAGGCAGGATTTATGGATTTGTCCTCAATACCGCTGTAGGCCGACTAAAGGACAGCCAAGGTTGAGGCCTCTGTTAACACCAACCATGTTGCAAGCATGTGTTGTCTGTTTTTAACATCACAGGAGTGAGTTATCAAAGGGGAAATTTGTATCTTGTGCTTCAGTTTTTCTCCTTTTTCTTACATCGCTCCATACCGTGTTGCATCATTTCTTTAGCTGTGATTGGTTGTTGACTAATAGAATTGATTTTTTTTTTTACTCCCTGGAAAGTTCTTTGAAGCATCCCTGAAAATGTGATGCACTCCCGGCGTCATATTTGTCCATAAAACTTAAATCAAGTGATGAAATATTACTTTTCACACAGCCAGGCATACACATGAAGGTAGCGTGTTAAACGTCGTTTTAAGTCCAGATGCGGACCAAATCTGTAAATTGGTCTGGTAGCTGGAGAGGTGCTAGTTCACTTTCTGACCACTGCCGAGATGACCTTGAGCAAGGCTCCTAACCCCCTCACCAGCTCAGGAGCGATCACTGTGGGCTGCCCCCCCCCTCACTCTGACATCTCTCCATTAGTGCATATCCAGAGGATCCTGTTTTTGCATGTGTGTGTATTTCAGCCTATGTGTGTGTAGCATGTTCATCAAATTGAATTTCCCTAATAAAGTAAAGGGAATAATAAAGTATCTTCTTCTTATATCTCTGTTAAAAAAAACGAAGTCCAAGATCAACTGAGTTGAAACACATGGATTTCTATCAGCTAGCAGATTGCTATAAATTGGATTGAAAATGTGAACATCCTCTTCACACTAGAATCAGAAGAAAAGTCACAATATTGGGGGAAAAACAACTGATATGATAGCAAAGCGAGAGCTGTAAGGCAATACGAAATATCAACTTATCCTCAAAGCAGAGACTTCAGAACTCTTTCTGACAAACAGGAAGTGGCCAGAGAGGATACATCACTTGATAAAACTGATTCCTTGGACAAGAAAGGCCAAGGTATTGAATGGACCCTCTTGATCTCTTTTACTCTCCGCCATTGTTGTAGCAGCTCTCTGGTGTCTCCGATGTTGTCATTTCCTGGTCTTATCACCATACAGCTCTACACTGCTCCTTGTGGTTATATGCATATTGCATCTTGCTGCGGGGGAAGCGTTAGTTTCTGATGACGTGCACAACCAGTGCTCCAAATCACCGCAGGATACGCAAGGCTGATGTCCCGCGTTTGAATGGTTAAAATCAAGTATCCTCAGGGCTTTACACACCTCACACAAGAAGGTTCTGGCTCTGCTAAGGTCTTCTGATGTATGTCAATTGTGAAACACAAAACAGTATTTTGCTGCGGTATTGAATACCAGCTATATGATATATGATTCATTTCAGTGAGCCAAATGGAGAATTAAAACGTCAAGAAAAAAATACAGAAAGTCTGAAATGGTTTACGTCATAGTGGAGGGAATTAAAAAAAGTGTTTATGAATAAAAGAGTAAGAGATATATGTGTGGATGTAATTGAAGTTGTAGCTTGAATAAGTGATTCTAGGCACATGTTTAGCGCCTGTACTGTATGTGTGAATATCATCTAAATAATGAATCCTGTCGTGTGTGTTTTTTTTTTTCTTCTCCTCAGCACTGAAAGACGCTCGCTTTCAGCTGGTGAACTTCTCAGACAACGAGCTGCGGGTGTCGCTGTCTAATGTCTCGCTGTCAGACGAGGGTCGATATGTTTGCCAGCTCTACACAGACCCCCCGCAGGAAGCCTACGCTGACATCACCGTGCTAAGTACATCCACAAAACAGACACACACACACACACACACACACACACAAACACTCTATGTTATTAGAAGCAGGGAGGTAGAGACTATTAATCAACATTTAGACTGCAGAAGACATTCACATTCACATGGTGAACAACATTTTGACAGCTCCCCATGAAAGCTGCAGGAGTCTCTGACAGCAGCTACAGGGAAGAAAATCATGGATTTCATAGTTACTTAGGAAGTGTTGTCATGATGCCAGTGTGTTTAAAATAGCTAATGCACAGTGGCCCGGGTGAAAGGAAGGCAGAAGGATCATCATTCACACATCATCTGAAACATACAAGATGCTGATAAGTAGCACACATTTATTTTTGTTAATGCACAAAGTATTCCACATTTTTTTCAATTTTGTATGGTAAGGTTTTTCAGGTTTATGTTTCTCTGTTATATCAATATTTATGTGTTTATTTGTGTTAACTGCCAAAGAAATGATCTAAACTAGGTGTATAGTGGCCATCATACTTCCCTGTATTTTGGTGACTTCTTCTTTAAATCCAATTTTAGCATGCAATGCCTTTTTAAACTTTAAAAAAAAAAACCCTTCTCCTTTGTCACTTCCTTGTTTTTTTTTTCATGAAGTACTGCCGTAGGTGTAGAAGTATTATATTTCCCCGGTGTTTACAGAGTTCTGTTTGTGTGTCCTGTCACAGTTCCTCCAGGTAACCCCATCATCGAGCCGGCGCGGGATGAGGTCCTGAGCGAGGGCAACGAGACAGAGATGACCTGCACCGCCATGAGCAGCAAGCCCGCCGCTACCATCAGATGGATGAAGGGAGATAAAGAGCTTCCAGGTAGTTCTTCTCTGCACACACACACACACACACACACACACACACACACACACACACACACACACACACAGAAAATCAAAATCATCCATCAAGTCATTTTTGCTCTAACCAAAATATGAACTTTGCAGTGCAGACAATCCGAGTTTGCATGTTTGTCCACTGTAGATTGAATTTCTGCACACAGGAGACCTCTGAGGGGTTCAGGAACATCACGTTCAATGAGCCTGAAACAACAAAGGAATATATTCATTTTAGTGTTTATACATAGCATGTGTAACCTCTTAGAAGTAAGGAAACTCTTCCTGTATATAATAATAATTGTTAATTAAACTATTGTTGCCTTTAAGTCATGGCTTAACCTGAGAGACAAGAACAGGAGAGCTAACACATCACATACACAAGAAGCAGTTATCTACAAAGTGAATGCCATATAATACAAGTGCCCTATAGTGACATCAGAGGAGCATGAGTCCTCTGCTAAGTCTCTGGTTGCAGAGTAAACTGATTTTACAGTAGTCTCTGCGCAGAGGGAAGAACCCGGTAAAGATCAAAACTGATAAACGTAGAGGCATTAATGACACGTTTTAAGGGCAATTTATCATTCCACATATTGTTTTTTAAACTATCTGACAAAGACAACATGTCAGGCCTTAAAGGTCTGTGTAGCAACTGTGGAATTATCAGCTCAGGGAGAATGATCCTTTATTTCACATCTGGTGGTTGTCATTGTCTTTGTTTTGCATTTTTATGCGAGTTTCTGTGGGTTTGCACATCCTACTTTAAAGTGTATCTAATTCTAACTTTTGCACGTGCATGCATCTTATAAGCGCTTTTCCGATGCATATAAATGACCACATTTTAAGGCGGGTTTCTTTCTCTCCCTCTGCTCGCACACCGTATTTAGCTCGTGCATCAGTGATGTCGCTTTTTAAATGGAGCTCTGCTGCGACTTTGAATAGTTTCCATTAAAGCAGTGTGGATGTGCAGCGGTGGCCAGAGCCTGTTGGCACTGTGACAACTTTCATGCCTTCATCAAAGGTAGCTGAGCTTTAGAAGTCTGCGCAAGAGCTCAGGGGTGAACAGGCCTCCTGCCAGGCTGCTCCACCTCAGAACCCAGACAGCCGGCTTTGTAAAGACTTTGAAAACAAAGGTCCTAATCAGGAGCAGTGTAGAAGGCCCTGAGCGGCTTCACCCTGCACTGCACCACATTACACCCTTACTGGTCAGCTCAAATCTGACCATGTTCTAATAAGCCAAGGTCGGGGTTTCACTAACAATTTGCTGCTAGCAGCATAACAATTTTTTTTTTTCTTTTAACAATGCTATATTTTACGCTGACCTGTGTGTGCATACAAGTGTTGGCAATATATCTGTATTGTACAAATACTGTAGACTCCAGCTGTAGAACTGACTCTGTTTTCTCATTTTAAACATTCTTTCATTTAATTGTCCCGATCAAGCTTTGTATTATAACATTATGGACAGCAGAACCTAGAAAAAACCTGTTATAATATTCCCCATCCTTCTTCAGGACCACCCCTGCTTTGTGTTTTTCCCCATGCATACAGTATGTATACCTGCAAATGAACCATGTCAGAAACTTGCTTTTATTAATATCATGCCACGAAATGCAGCAGAAATGTAGCCAAGTTGATAATCTAATCCCTCTTAATGACAATTTAGTGATGTTTAAGACATTTCTTTATGCAGCAGTGGCACTGTCACTTACATGCATGTAAACGTAAGTATGAATGGTGTGTTGCAGCAGCATAAATGAGCAATGCAACCAACCAGTGAGCTCTGTAGCTGTTAGTCACTGTGAAATACTGATCGGCTTCACTGTAAACATCGTCTCCTTAAAGTGGGATTGTCTGCATGCTTCTCAAGGTGCTCACCAGCTCTTTAAGTCAGCTCTCCAACAACGCTCATTTGTTTGTTTAACCACTCAGCCCCTCCTCTGTTCTGTGTTCTTACACTGGCTGAAAGGAAAATCCCACTTGCACAGCAGGCTTGGTGCCATTGAAGTTTTACAAGTTACAAATGCGATTTTATGCCACAAGGCGATACTCTGTAGTGATGTGAAGTCTGAGGTGGAGGTCGGAGCGGGCCGTGCATGAATGAGGACAGTCGTGGTGGTTGGGACGGCGAAGTCCGATGGTAAATAAACATCGGCTACTGACCTCGGTGTGAGTCACATGGGCCTGGCTGATATCGGACGATTCACTGGTGCATCCCTGTTGTTGTCATAGTAACAATGTCACATGTTGACCATGTTGAGCTAATAATCTGCCTTTTGCATGCTAGCTCCTTATTAAACTGACTCCACAGTTCGTGTAATTGAAACTGAATCAATGATGCCAAATGAAACCTTGTGCTGCTCTGCTGACGCTGAAAAATATTAAGACAATGGAGTGCAAAGAAATGAACGATGGAAAAGAAAAAGGAATAGCTGAGGGTGCCAGAAATCTGACATTAGGGCAGAATTACTTAAATAGCCTTCGGCCGTGGCTCCTTGCCTGGCAGACGTATTTCTAATTAAACGTCCCACGAATTCAACTGAATTACCTCAAGGGGTAATCAGGGTGTCTTAAATATCATTTAAAGGTTGCAATTGTCATGCTTGCCAATGTAAATCATTATCTCACTATTATCTCATTCCCCTTCTTTCCTGTTGTTTAGTGATTTATTAACATTTTACCCTGCGCTAATATTTCCTGCTCTTCAGCTCAGACTGCAGCAGTGTAAGTCGTAGAAAACAAGGAGACACGGCAGTGCAGGTCATTTCTTTTTTTTTTTTTGTTCTTTTAGGATATAAGAGAGGAAGATGAGTGGAAAGGAAAGAAAAAACAAGATAGGTATAGGGCACGTCACTGACTGACAGGGACCAGAACAGCCATTAGCCTGGAGCCTTATGAGACAACCACAGGGTGATTTCAATTACCCTGCTCCACCTCAGCAGGAAGACTCCACTATTGAATAAAAGAATATTTGGGGCAAAGCAAAGCGATGGTAGTGGAGAGACATATATTTTATTTAACTAGAACAAAGCGCTGCCTGCTCCACAAGACTGTGTTTAAATGGGAACGGTTAAAGACGTGGATATGTAGAGAAGAGGACAAATGAAGAGTGTGTGTTAAGAACTGAAAAACGCTGAAAGTTCCACTTTCAGCGTTTGACCTTCAGATGCCTTTCAGAGACGTTCACGTTGCCTCAGTGTTCTTTGAGCTTAACATGGTGTCCGGTTTTTGAAGGGGGAGCTACTGGATCATGCATCATTCCTACTCACTTCACTTGTTAAGGACCTTTTCATTGTGTTCCACTAGAGGCACATTAATGAAACCAGCTTCACAGTTTGGATGAGAGAATAAGTCTAAGCAAAGGAATTGGGAACAAGAACCATTGGAAAGCAGTGCATATAAATAAAAGTGTGGGTCAGCACAAGGTTCTCTAACATTTGTTGATACTCAAACCTACTAAAGCCCCGTTTCCACCAAGCAGTCGGGTTCAGTTCGGTATGGTACCCATTTATTGCTTTTTCCACCGTCAAAAGTTGAGAATGGTACCAAAATAAGGGACCAGTACCGTCCTACTTTTGGGTATCCTTCTGTTGGGGTTCCAAGGGTACTGATCCGACCCTAAATCAATCAATCAATCAATACATTTTTATTTGTATAGCGTCAACTCATAACAAGTGTTATCTTGAGACACTTTACAAAAAGCAGGTAAAAGACCTTACTCTTTGTCTGTTAACATTACATAAGAGCAGGTAAAAAGACCTTACTTATTGCTATATTACAAAGACCCAGCCTATCTATCATGAGCACTTTAGCAAAGCAGCAAAAGTTACAGTGGTAAGAAAAAACGGTCTTATTAAAAGGCAGAAATCTTCAGCTGGATCCCCGGCTCATGACGAAACAGCCTTCACAGGCCGAGACTGCACCGGTGACCTAAAGCGTCCCTTTTGTTTTCTGCGTCCCTGCCACTGGAACGTTTAATTCAATTAATAGCGGGCTACACTGTGTTGATGCTGCTATGATGTCACACTATTACAAAGCTGATTACAAAGCTATCTCCATCTGGCTTACACTCCGCTTACCAAATAAGGATACAGTTGGATGTGGAAACACAAGCAAGTTCAGGGTTTACCTTACTGAACTGAATCAAACTGTACTGAATGAAACCCGACTGCTTGGTGGAAAGGGGGCTTAAGAAGATGCTTGTGCAAGTGAATGCATATCACATCACAAATGAACTAGATAAAATACTTAATTATTGTGTCTGCTAATGTGCTTCACAGTTCTACGGGTCCCACATATTCAGTATTCACATTCCAGCTCCCAATTTATAGAGGATATGACCATATAGCATATAAGCAGAATAGTTGACTGCTGAGGAAACTTAACGCAGACTGCATGGAGATCTGAAGACAACAAAAAGGGCGGGGGAAGCTGTATAAAAGGGCTAAAGGGTAACGCAAACTTTCTCTATCATATCACTGTACGAGCTAAGCTACAGCAGTTGGTTCCTTATAGCACACACTGCATGAGCTACACACAAAGAAAAGTGTGTGTAGGCACAGTCGCCTTGATGTGTCTAACCAGGAAGACATTGCTTCGTGGAGAATTGACTCTGGACGTTTATGATGATGTCTCAAGTGTATGTGCTTAAATTGAAAACCATCAGCCAGTGTTATGACGCATCTATTGTGCTACTCGAGAGCTACACATACACAAAGAAAAAAAGATGTAGCACATTTGTAGAACTGTCAGATGTCCATCTTAAGAGACAAGCCGTCTCCTCCTGTAATTCCTGGATGAATGGGGCACGAGTTGGTTCTGGCTCTGTGCAGTGCACAGCAGGGTGTCCTTCTTTTTTATCTTTCTCGGGCACATATGGAAGGTAAGCTAGCAGCAGCAGCTCGGTGGTCATGTGTAGATTGCTCAGTCGATGTGAAAAAAACAAAAAACAAAGCCATTCCAGGATTATTAAAAAAGCCGTGC